CTCGTTCGCTATCCAGTCAAATTCTATGGTTTAATTTAAAAGTTCACTGAACGATGAAAAGCAATTTCCTATCCAATCGCGTAATCTAGTTTAGAGGAATGCAAATGTAACCACGTGAGTGTAACGACCTGTATACCTAGATTCTGATGCGCTTCCTTAAATTTTAAACAGGCGCATGGTTTAAACGGATCCTTTAAACTGACACGTGGTCTTCTTTTAATTAAACCTTTCTTCATTAATGATCACCGTGATATCGACATTCTTTATGTTCGACTGCTTTTCCAGGTCGTCCGATTGTTCCTACTTACGGAAGGCGCGTTATGAAACACACGTGGTCACCCGTGACACTATCCTCCAAGAACACCTTTGTTTTCGTTCTATCAGATAGAGTAAAAAGACTTTCCTCTTCCGTATCGATTACCTTAAGTTAATCCTTTACTTCGGTACTCTATTCTTCGATGTTGGATCTCGATACGGAGAAGATAGAGAATGTCGAAATATATAATGTATTTCAACATTATTTGTGAAATATAATATATCATATTCTGCAACTGTGGGCAGAGTCGGTTGCAATTAGTAAAAATACTTAATTAATTTAGTCAAGGGGGATATAATAGTAGCTGTATGGTTGCTTCAGAGTAATTATTACGGGTAAAAATTGTCCTAGCGGTCTTTAGCTTTGCTTACGGTATGAAGCATTAATTTTGTCGTCTACGACCGTGACGTGTAGACAGTACGTGTAGACACATGTACACATGCGTTCTTCGGCTTACGCATAGAAAATATCGTAACAACATCCAAGGGCGGTCTAACACTCGATGGTCATGACCAGTTTCATAAACTAAAACGTTTTATACATTCATGATTTAAAATGAAGGTTGAACGTTCGAGATGGAAGAATATTTTTCCAGAAAATGCGGGACTGGTATTTAAGGTCGTAAACCAGGATCCAAATGCGCTATGATTGAACTACCGTGGGGTGGAGGCCTCTTTATAACTGGCTGGTTTCTGACACTGTTCTTTACCAGCGTCGGTGGTCAGTTGGGTTCAGAGTACGGATGTCCTACTCAGGAGAGGATTCTACCTTGCAGATGTTCTACTCGTGACATGGAGATCCAAATATGGCAAGTGTCGTGAAGCGTTTTGAATGACAAGAGAAAGCCAGTCGGGTGACATTTATTCCTTCTCTGTCAATAGGTGCAGTCATAGTGAGTTGCCAAAAGTTCTCGAGGGATTGAAGGCAGTGAGCCATTATTTAGATCGACCAGTAGACGAGTTGATCCTGGAGAACAATAATTTACCTAGTCTGCCGGGGAAAGTTTTCGCTACTCTACGTGTTCTTCGTTTAATGCTTCGGAACAATCGTCTTGAAAGAGTGTCGTCAGGGTGGCTAGAGGGTCTCCACGATTCTCTGTTAGAGTTATTTGTCGTGGAACCGGATTTACGTTCCTTACCGATAGACAGTTTAGAAAATTTACAGGGCCTCGAAGCGGTGACGTTGCAGAGTAGAGTAATGAAGAAACTGCCGAAATTCTCTGGGCTGCCGAAGCTTAGATATCTGCAGATTAACTCCCCGGCCCTATTGGAACTGGCTCCGAGAAATTTCCGTGACTTGCCTAATCTGGAACAGTTCCACGCTTTCGGTAGTCCACGTCTGATACGCTTAGAAGCTGGCCTTTTTCGGGGCCTACCGCGGCTCGAGTTGATGAACATCACGGACTGCGGAGTTCACTGGGTTCACCCTCGGGCGCTGATAGATCTGCCAGAATTGAAAGAGGTCTCGTTAGTAGGAAACTCGATCGTAGATGCCGGCATGATCGGCCGTGCCTGCATGGATCTACCTTCGCTTTCGGTGATACGGCTGGACAGAAATCGTATAAATCGTCTTGGCGATGGAGCATTCACGGACTTGCCTGTTCTCTCTCGCTTGTACTTGTCGAGGAATTATGTTACCGAGGTGTTCGCTGGAGCATTTCAAAGAATGCCAGCCTTGAAAACGGTGGATCTCAATCACAATCTAATACACCGCATACACCCAGAATTTTTTCCGCGTAGGCCTGGAAACATCTTGGAGGAGATGTGGCTGATCAACAACGATCTGAGCCACGTGACCGAACTGAGATCGATAATGGAGGCATTGCCCAGACTGAAGTTTCTCGATGTCAGTCACAATCAAATCGAGGAGATACCTTTTGGGGCTCTAAGGGGGCACCTCACACTGGAAAGACTTCACCTTGATCACAATAGAGTGGCCTTTCTGCAGAGAGAAACCTTCACCGCGATGCCCGCTCTTAGGGAACTTAGATTGAAAAATAATTCTCTGTCAAACGTATTGGAAGCGCCGTTCTGGAACTTGCCAGCGTTGAAAGTAAGTGGTCGACAGGTGAAACATTTTCTAAGTCCTGGCTCTTAATCGTCGTCTGTTACAATTTCAGGGTCTAGATCTTTCCGAAAACTACTTTCGCCATCTAGAGCCTCGTTTATTAGCGAATTTGCCAAGCTTGAGGCGGTTGGATATCAGTGGAAACGCGATCGGCCTCATAGAACCTGATTCGTTTCTAAGTACACCTGCTTTAGAGCACATCAACATCTCCGGAAATGCGCTCTCTGTTCTTCATCCACTGACGTTTCGCCATCTGACTAATCTTTACGAGTTGGACGTCGGTTGGAATCGAATGCTCGAGATAGTTCCGGGCTTACCGAGAAACATAGAACACCTTTACATGCCTATGAATCGAATTATCATTCTACCAGCTGTATCTTCTCAAGATCTGGATCTGCCGGTTCTGAGGTCCTTGGACCTTAGCGCGAACGGGATCGAAAGAATACCTCCAGCAACTCTGACCGATTTGCCGAATCTGAGAAAGTTGATTTTCGGCTACAATTCTCTTCGACTTTTAGAAGACGGCGCGTTCGAGGGTTTATCGAGATTGGAGCAATTGGACATGAAATATAATCGATTAGTCACTCTACACGGACGTAGTTTCCGACCACTGAGATCGCTCATGGATTTGAACTTGCGGGGTAATCGTTTGGAAGTTCTAAGGCCGGATATCTTTCAGGAAAATATTCGATTGCAAAGGTTGGATCTCAGCAGGAACAACCTTGCGCAAATACCTCATGCAACCTTTTCAAGTACCAGGTAATAAAGGAATTCCAATTCACGCTGGTACCGTAATACGTAAGACTACGTAAAGATGCGCCATTTTTTGCACGTCAACACGCGAATAGAAAAGCAGTTTCACTCGTGGTCATATGGTTGCGTCACTAGCAAATTGGTACCTAGAAAGTTCTTCGTGCCCACGTTGAATGTCCCCTTCTACCTGCGAGGTGGCACCATCCTAGCGTGTCGTTTATTTTCTACCAGTTTGTATAATTTTAATGTTCGAACTCTGATTACTGAAATGCGGGAAAACGGCTCGATTGAAAATTATTATTTTTCGTCTTCTTCAATTTTATTTTCTTGAAGTCTGAGAATTTACAATTAGTTTTATCTTTCTGTTTTTTTTTTTTTTTTTTTTTTTTTTTTTTTAATT